GTTGCAATTTTGCGCAGCAGAAGGACAAAGCAAATCTTTTGTTACTGCCCTTCAACTCGCTGCAGACATGCGCTGTGCCCAAAGGGCTATGAGCCTTCCCCTCCGAACTCTGGAGAAATCGTACAAGCTGAGGAGATTGATTACCACGAACTGAACGAAGCTGATCTGCGAACACGTATGAGCGTCTGCAAAGTTTGCTGTTCAGAAGTCGCCATTTCGACTGGCTCGACAAGAACGCTACTGGGTACGTGAGATGTGGGCAGTACACCTGAACCATACTTCTAAACAGAATTCAAACTAAGTGTTCTAACCTCCATTGAAGGTGTCATTGAGAGAAAAGACCCGATAGCAGCGAAAAGGGGAGAGCAAAAGTATGATCTAAGACGGCATGTGGATCTCCTTCGTCTAATTGTAACACTTAAGACCTTCTTGCAACGCTGTAAAACCTTTTGAATAGTGTCATGAACGTTTCATCTTAGCACCGCTCACTAAGTGCAAACCTCACACCCGATCTGGATATTTGACCCCACTCCTATGACCCTTAACCACTTTTCCCGCTTATTAGAACATTTGGGAACAGAGTTATGAGTTTCTGCTCCTGGCCCCTCCACTTTAGTTAAAGCTCCCACCTCGACGACTTGACCGCATTTCTTCTACAACCTCTAGCCACCTCTTTTCCTCATCCCAGAATACCTTTGATCAGAGTTATAAAGTTTCGCGTTTGGCTCCGCCCTCTTCGGCGCAAACGCCGCCCACTTTGAAATTTGATCACATTCATCCAGCCTCTGACCAAGTTTTTCTCGCGTTCTGAAAAGCTTTTATGCAATTTAATAAATATTTCTAAAAAGTATATTTCAAATGGATGTTCGCTCTGCCCTAGTAGGCGGAGCTTTGCTGAGCTTACTCACGCTCAGCACGTATAAGTCCTTGTTCACCCCTTTTGCATGCTCAGGATGCAAGGTACCAATTGTGCGGATTATTAGTGGGACTGTGTTGCCGTACACGAAAGGTGAAACAGTAATCGCAACTATTGTTTACCATACCAACCATATGTATTTTTGACCCTACCAGTCACAAGCAGTGCCGGGAACGCAACCATAAATCTGGCCATGTTTGTAGAACATTTTCATGTAGCTAAATTTCTGTTAAGATTATCTTCATTGTTGATTTGGCCATATCATGCGACGATGGAATCTTCCGCAGAAGGTGCAAGAGGCCTGGGATCTACGAATCGCACGTTCAGAGGATCGTGTACCTTGTCTTCGGGGATATAGAAATGTGTCAGACCCTGATCATCACTCATTTCATCCCTTTTTTTGCTCGGGAACGACCTTCTTTTTATTTTTGACCAATTGTCAACTTTTTTATCTTTGCTCAAGTTATTGTTCAAGTTGAAGTTTAATTACCCGAGTTTAAGGTAAGTCTACGAGTCAAGTTTCGTGACTGTCCGCATACGAGGTTACTGAACATAAGACCAATAAGGTGAGCACTTGTGAAAGGAGAGCGCACGAAATAGTGACTAGCAGAACTAACAGAACTTTGAATGAAATTTGTACGTATGAGCAAGCAGTGTTCTCGAGAATTTGATCATTCTTTACTTTTACACTGCTCAGCAGGAGCGTTACTTGATACCTCTTGCGACGGTATTTTTCATTAAATTGCAAGGTAGAAATACGAAATGACTAGAATGAAAGGAACACGAGAATCACCAGAAGAGCAAATGCATGCCCCATCTCTGCACATATGAAGACCTGAATCGATCATTTTCCAATCTGGCAATCAATGGAGGCATTACTATAATAGATAGCCTTCAATCTGACTCGAAAGAATTCCGTGGGGCAAACCCAAGAAAAGGATTGATGAGCAAAGGACATAGCGGCAAACCGAGGCATTGAAAACTGCTATACCATTTCACCAAGAGATCGATGAAGATTTTTTAGAGAAGTAAAACAAATCTCAAAGTCTGAATTGGTGCCTTGAATGATTGGTAAAGTCTTGGGATTTTGTAGAGAAGTAAAACAAATCTCAAAGTCTGAATTGGTGCCTTGAATGATTGGTAAAGTCTTGGGATTTTGATCAATCCCGTCAGAGGGATACATCCACGCATTCGATTTCCCCTCAAAGTCGTAGTGTCGTAATGAGTGCGTATGCGGCCATTCAGTTCTTTTATTCTCACATACGAGTCTGGTACCAACTAACAAACCCCGAAGGGATGGAAGGCTTGGTTAGCCCAGACGCACCTCCGCCCTGCCGAAAATATAGCCCATTTTTGAAATTTTTCTACCGAACTGACTACTTCAACTAGAAAATTATTAGCATTTGCCAAGATGAGGGCATATTTCCGTGGCATTCTTTCGTTGTTGGAATACTGTGTGACGATAAGGAGTATTGTGTTGGGAAGTTGAAGATGCTAGGGTCTTCAGCACTAGCCAATCCCGTTACTGAGATGCGCCACGCACGCGACTTCTGTGGCCTATACAATGAATTGCTGTGGACAGAAGATGTACAAGGCAGTGGCCATCCTCCCAGACAAGTCTGGTACCAAGTCACCGACCAAGGAGAAATGGAAAACATGGTTGCTCGATCCGGGATGTTATCCCTGATCTTTCGTGTGTGATAGTACGTCTCTTGCCACTAAGCCACCTCAT